TGCTGCGATTGATTGATTGAAAGCAATTATTTATCTGATAAGAAGAGCAGGGGGGAGCCCAAGTGCGGCCAACTCTGGGCCGATCGAGCATATACTCAGCAGTGCGAGTTTGTGCGTAGGTGTGATCTCATCAGGCAGGAAAGGTGGTGGCCTCCCCCCCCCCTTCTCCCAACCGGCCATTGGTGCAGGACCGCGGTGACACAGGCTGACCACCATCTCTGCTGGCCTTCGGAATATCGACCCCTACGATGACCTTCCCCTTGCGCTGGGTCCCAGGAAAACTGGCCAAGCACAGAGAGCTCGGCTCTGTACCAGGCTCGGATCAGGCCCTTTTGGCGACCTCCCTGGACTGACTGGCCACGGCACATCACCACCTCCACCTCTACTTCCATCTAGGCAAGCCTCCTCCACGGAACACAACAAGATCTTACGAGTAGAGAGAGAGAGACAGAACCGCATACATGAAGTGCTCACAGGTAGAGAATGGAGAGGTGGACGAGCACCTGCTGCTACGCGAGCAGCAGCACGAGGAGGAAGACGAGGAATGCTGCAAGCCCTTCCTCCAACTCTTCATCTTAATCACGTGCCTGGGGTCCATCGTGCTTGGTCTCGCCCAGGTATTTGCGGACCGCTACATCTCCTTCAGCACCGTGTCCTGCATCGCCTGCACCCTGGCCACCTCGGCCCTCCTCTTCATCTCCATCCGACGCAACCACAACTGCCGCGTGCTCAGCGCCTCTACAACTTCGTCGGCCAACGTTGCCCTCCGTCTGCAGGAGCGTCGCCGCGGGCGAACGGGGCTGGCCGTAGCGCTCTACGCCTACTGCGGGGTGCTGGACCTGCTCCTCACCATGTGCGCGCTCACCGACAGCGACGTGCGCGACGTCTTCCTGTGGTTCCTATGCATTCCGCTGCTGTTCCTCTACGCGCGCGGCGTGCGGGCCTGCGTCGTGACCCTGGTATTCGTGGGCGTCCAGACCACCGCGCTCCGCTACGTGCGCCGGACGTGGGACCTCACAGCCTTTTTGACCCCTACCTCCATCCGGCACACCATCCTCGGTACCGTTCACGCACCACCGCACACGGACGCTTTTACAATGCTAATCACACACACACGCACAAACACACAAACACACAATCACACGCTAACCACACACACGCACACACACGCGCACACACACACACACACACACAGGCGAAAGCTTTTGTGACTGTTGGCTGTTCGTGCTGGTGACCACGCTGTCGGCGTGTCACCACCACGCGCGCACTCGAGCGCTCGATCGGCTCAAGGCGGCGCTGCGGGAGAAGGACGCCGCCAATGCCGAGCTGCGGCGGGCCACGCATGCCAAGTCGGAGTTCCTCGCCAACATGTCCCACGGTACTCGGGTGCACTGGGCCTTGTGCAACATTCTGATCAATCTGGCACTGATGCTTGTTACAACGCTCAGAGCTGCGCACACCGATGCACGGGATCATTGCCATGAGTCGTGAGCTTCAGGACTTGTTCATGCCCTCTTCCCAAGCTGGGCATGCTTTGACCATCATATCGGGTACGTGTCGCAGCATCACCACGCACCCAATCAGCGGCGCAATTGTGACTGTAGTACTCCCACGCCGCTACAGACTGCGCGGAACACTTGATGTCGCTGGTGAGCGACATCCTCGATTTCGAGCGCATCGAATCCGACCAGCTGCAGCTCGAGGCCATTCCCTTCTCGATTGCCGAAGAAGCGCAGAAGGCCATTCACCTGCTCCAGACCGCCGCCGGTACAAAACACCCCAATTACCGCCCGCACACTCCTCTTAACTGAAGTGCACGCCCACACAGACAAAAAGCAATTGTCGCTCTCGCTCGACACTGTGATCGCGCGGCCTTTCCACCTGGGCGATCCGCTTCGGTACGTTGCTATCTTGAATGTGACCGTGTGATCAGAGAGGGAGGGCTGTGCTGAAGCTGAAGCTTCTTCTCTGTTCAGCTTCCGGCAAGTGGTCGTAAATTTATTGAGCAATGCCATCAAGTTCACGCCCGACCGCGGCTCGGTCTCGGTCAGCGTGCGCAACGACGATCAGGACAGTATCGATGAGGTCATCGTCGCCGTGAAAGATACCGGTACCGTATGGTTCATCATCACAACCGTAGCCTCGTATCTCATGCCGTGTTACGGGTGGCGTGCACAGGGATTGGAATTCCAGAAGAGTGTAGGAGGTTGCTCTTCTCGGTACCGCCCTCTTGGCTTCCCTCTGCGCTTCGGACCGCGAGACTAACATCTGGGGGTGGATTACAGCCATTTTCTCAGCTAGACGCCTCGGTCTGCCGCAAGTTCGGCGGCTCCGGGCTCGGCCTGGCCATCAGCCAGCGACTGTGCCGCGCCATGGGCGGCGGGATCGAGTGCCACAGTCAACCCGGCCGCGGCTCCACCTTCACGTATTCACCACTCCCTCTCTTCACCGCACCAAATCGAAGGTTGAGCTCAATTCTGTTGTTTTTGTTGTTATGGACAGCTGTCGGTTCCGCCTGCCGGCGGTGGAACACGAGCAGTCGCCCCCTTTCAAGGACCTCGCAATGCCTGACCCATCGTCGCTTGCGTTGAGTAGCAGCAACACCAGCGGCGCGGATGGCGAGAGATTCCAGGGGCTGCGCGTGCTGTTGGTGGAAGACAACGTAATCAACCAGAAGGTGGGCAAGCGCATGCTCTCCACCCTAGCCTGCGACGTCACGGTACCCACCCACTCTGCCCTCCTCCCTGGCACGGCCGCATTGCGATGAAACTGACGGCCATCTTTTCAACCGAAGGTGGCCAACAATGGCGAGGAGTGCCTCAACGCCTTGGGCGAGTCGCTGGACGCGTTCGACATCGTGCTCATGGATTGCCAGATGCCCGGTACATTTGTAGAAAACAGCAGCACTACGCACACGCTCAGTTCTGACACCTGCCTTTGGGGGGTGGCGCTGTGCCAGTGATGGACGGCTTCCAGGCCACCAAGTGCATCCGCGAGAAAGAGGCCCAGCGCGAGCAGGGTGATCCTCAGCCATCGCTGCCGATCGTGGCGCTCACTGCGTCTGCCACCACGGTACTGGACTGAGGCCCGGGCCATCGGGCCGTTTGCGTGGTTTCTAATGGGAGGACGATCGATCCGCGCTGCACAACAGGAGTATGCGCAGCGGTGCCTCGAGGTGGGCATGTCCGACGTGCTCTTCAAACCGCTCCGGCGCGAAACCCTCGCTGCCGCGCTCGCCAAGTGGAAGCCGTCGTCCGCCTCGGACCGCGCCTCTTCTTCTTCTTCTTCATCGAACATCGCCGCGCGCGTCGAGCAGTGCTTCCGTCGTCGCTGCAACTCGTCGCCCTCGCAACTCGAGCCGGTTCGCATAGCCGCCACCGGTAGATCTCCCACCCAGCGAGGGTGAGCCCTCGGGCACTGTCAATCTCCACCGTACGGCCGGCGACTGTTCGCTCGGTGTGCTCCAGGCCGCGCCGCCTGCACTCTCTGTTGGAGGACATCCATAGGACAGGCGTCATCTAGCCCTTGGGATTACCACACACCGACCACAGCCAAATTTTGCCCTACCAAACTGGGTTTTTTTCGCCTTTATGCGCCCATTCAATCAAACAATGACATCCTGCGAGCCAGCCGCAAGGATGTCATGACATCCTAGGGACATCCTTGCGGCTGGCTCGCAGGATGTCCCATGACTGGGTCACGCACTAAAAAGCCCTGGATAGCTAAAGGCTGTCCTCGGGACATCCTCCGTTGTACGCCTTCGCTTTGCGGCCCTTCTCATCCAGGCAACAGCCTTGGTTCGGAGTCGAGAGCGCGAGATGTCTGCAGACTCCACTCACCCGTAGGGCTGGGCTAATAACGTCAGTTCTTATTCTCTTGCTTTTTCTGGTTCTTGTCCGACCGTCGGGCGCCCTGGCTCTGCCCGAGGGGATACGAACACGAACCATTCCCGCAACTCCCCGACCATCAGTTCTTCCGTTCCGCACAGAAGGGTAGTGAGTAGCCTCGCAACGGGACGGCGAGAGTCCTTGATAAGGGGGTCAGTTAGGTCTCTTCATCGTTTTGTTCATCACCAACTTCACCATCAACCGACCGCAACAGGAGGCCCACCCACCCTCACCCTCACCTTCACACAGTCCATGGCGTATCCAGCTGCGACCAACAAGAAGAGCACGAGGCCGAGCTGCGACGCTTGCCTCGAAGTGTCAATGTCGAAGCAGGCCGTGTGGCAACGACAAGCCGCGATGGTGGACTCCTTCCACTACACCGGCCTCTTCCCGAGCCGCGGCCTCGTCTTCTCCCCACCTGCCACACCACAGCCGCGACAGCCCGCGCACAAGGCCAATCAGATCGAAAACACCACCACCGACCCGCAGTGCTCCCCACTTGCGAAGCTGCGCTGTGCGTGGCGAAAGAGGAGCGCGAGCAGGAAGGACACCCTCCGCTCGCGATGAGGCTGTGTTGTGGAACAAAAAATGTAAGCTATTTCGAATATTTTATAAAAGAAAATTTAAGTGAAAAAAGAAAATGGAAAAAAAGCTGTGTTGTTTGTTTCGTCAAACAAAGAAAGATGGGCCGAGGAGCGACGGGGTGGGAGGACCGGCGGCGACGGGAAGCAACTCTGGGCGGCAGGCTTGTCTACGGCTACCTGGCCGCCTTCAATGTGGTCATGGCCGCTGGGTGGTGCCTCGTGGCCGCCACGCTGGTCTCCTCCGCTATCTACACGGCCAGTCCCCTCTCTGCCCTCCACCTCGCCTTCACCAACGTGGGTTCCCTCGTCCGTACGCGCCCCCATATCCTATTATGTATTTTTATCTATAATTATTTATTTTTATTTTTCTTGTAATTTTAGTTATTATTCATGAAAATAATAATAAGAATAAATTGTACAGTGAGCCTGCAGCTTTTGGTGTGCATGGAGGTGGTGCACATGGCGCTCGCGTGGGTGCCGCCGTCGACGATGAATCCGCTGCTTCTGCTCCACTGCAAGGTCCTGCGCCGGCTGCACCTTCTCGTCGTGGCCTACTTCGGCGTGCCGCAGGTTTGTAGACCACTCCTTGACATTCGCGAATGTCCGAAGAAATGAACCCCTGACACACACGACACACACCGCACGACACGACACACGTGTCATCGCACACGCAGGTGCATCAGACGGCGGCGCTGGGCTTTGTGTTCGTGCACTGGGCCGTGGTGGACCTCATCCGCTACCCCTTCTACCTGCTCAACATGGTCAGGGCCTGCCCGCCGCTGCTCAAGTGGATGCGCTACTCCGAATTCATCGTGATGTACCCCATCAGCTTCACCTCGGAGAGTACTGCGCCCCCAGCCACTGCGATTGTCATTCATTGCTGACGTCAGCACTTGGTGTGTTTCGTGTCGTGCGTGTCGTGCGTGTCGTGTCGTGTCGTGTCGTGTGCGTGTCGTGTCGTGTCGTGTGCAGTGTACCTGTGGTGGGTGATGTACCCGTACATCCGCGAGTGGCCGCTCGAGCAGCGCGAGGGAAGTCTCGAGGCCGCGGCCGCGACGCTCTACGGCTGGCTGCTCCTGGCCTACCTGGCCTGGCGCGTCTCCAGTACGTTGTTGAGGGCCCGGCCCTCGCCATTCATTGTGCAGTCACGCACCGGGGCTGACCCTAACACTTTGCTCACTTCACCAGCGTTCCCCTTCAACTACCGCCGAATGCTGCGTCTGAGAGGGCACAAGGACCAGGGAGGACCGAGCCCGGCGGCCGTGGGCGCCACCACCAAGGCCGACTAGGCCGTGTCTTTGTCGGCTGCGCTGCGCAAGACCAGGGGAGACAAGTCAGGAAGCTTGGCTTGTCAGCCAATTGACTACAAATCGTGAAATGTAGTTACGCGGGCTGCTGGGCGGAAAACTCGGGGCGCCTGGCAGCCCCTGCAGGGGCTGATGGGTGGTGGCAAACGGACATCTCCGTTTGCCGCACAGCGGCCCAGCGAGAGCCAAGCGGCGCATTGCGCGGAGAGGGGAAGGGGGAAGTTGATGGCCATGCAGCCCGAGCGAGACGAGGGTGGGACAGCTTACAGGAGCCAATGGGCCAACAGGTTGGAATGATGACCCTGTCAGAAGGTGCCCGTGATGAGCGATGGCCGGTGCCAGCTAGCCAACGCTTCCGGGCTTTCTAGTCGAACGGCTTCTCTACAGTTCCTCCTCCACTCCCTGGGTTGTTCCATTCCGCGAAGGTTCCAAGCATCATGTGCTGGTCATCTCCTCAACAACAAGCTCCGTCAGCTCGCTTGTACGGGCCTCTCCACGACAGCCGCGGGGTCACCGCGGGTGAGCTGATAGCCTCTCAGCTGTAGAAGAAATGGTGGTCGGCCAGACAGTTCAACACTTCAACCACGGCACCACCATACCACCGCCACCTACACAGTGTAGGTCACCCATCGGAGGCGGAGCGGCCATGGCGAACGGCGACGCGGGGAAGAAGAAGCTGCTGCTCACCCACCGGATTCGAGGAGCGGCCACGATGCAGGAGGTGTGGCAGCGCCAGGCCGACATGGTCCCCTCCTTTGGCCACACGGGTCGTCGCCCTTCGCAAGTCCCCATCTGTCGCCCGACCACAGCATCGCCACCACCAACGACAGCAGCGGAGGCGCCCCCGTACCTGTCGCGCCTCGCCGCCCAGATCAAGAACGCAGCCAAGAAGACCAAAAAGAAGCAGCCCAAGCAGACCTCCACAACAAAAACAACATCAACATCAACAGCAACCACCACCACACGACGAAAGAAATCAACATCACCACCACCATCATCATCATCCAAGTCTGCCAGGTGCGGCCTGTGGTGCTGGGGCAAGTCAAAACAAGTCAAATAAAATAATAAATAATAATTACAAGGAAAAGAAAGTGGTGCCCCGGTATTGGCGGAATTCTGTGGAAAAAAGGAGTTAAAAGGAACACCGCGGTGGTCATGACACGGCAGACCTGGCGTCCGGGCCCGCGAGGGACCCAGGTCGTCGCTCCTCGGCGAGCCGGTGGCGCGCGCGGCGCAGGCAGCGCTCGAGGCTGGACTTGAGGAGCGGCTTGCCCAGGAAGTCGACCATGCCCACCTCGGCGCAGGCCTCCCGGTCGCTCTCGTACACGTTGGCCGTCACCGCGATGATCTGTGGTCGCTTCACCTGCCGCAGCGACCACCCCACCGACGCCGACGACGATGACGGTGATGATGGCGATGATGATGGTGGTGATGGTGGTGGTGGTGATGTTGTTGATGATGGTGATGGTGTGGTTGGCGATGAGGGCGACGAGATGGTGGAGCTGGTGGTGGAGCTGGGCATGACTGGAGAGGTGGTGGAAGAGGAGGCCGGAGAGGAGGAGGAGAGACGGAGGGCAGCGGCGGGGAAGCGCGGGAGCGAGGGCGAGGGCGAGCGCGACGAGGCCAGGTAGGCTGAGGTGGCGAGCGGCAGCGAGGGCGAGGGCGGTGGCGTGACCAGGCCGCGGTCCTCCTCCTCGCACGACGCCAAAATCACGCGCGTGGCTGCCAGCCCGTCCTGTGCGTGTCGTGTCGTGTCAAACTTTGACCACCATGCAGGAAACAAGAGAGTGGCATAGGCGTACCATCTTGGGCATCTGCAGGTCCATAAACTGCAGGCGGCACAC